GGGCTGATGGGGTTAATAAGATAAACTCACAGAAGACAATTACTGTTGTTTTATATAACTGGGCTGATGGGGTCAATAAATGAAACTATTCAATTTATAATTAAGACTAAGTTACAAAAATATTTTTCTTCACGAATTAGTTATAATGGAGTTTATTAGTTGAAAAATTCTTGCAGGGAATCGTTTCAAAATGAATCATACTTGTAAAAGAAAAGAGATACCTCAAATTAAAATGCTTAGGTCATAATCTATTAACGAGCAGTCTTTATCTTGGTAACGGAAACAATATAATCAATTAATTGAAGTTATGTAACAATCTGTTACAGAATTTATCTTTAGTTCTAGGACGGTATGTGAGGAAGAAAAAAAAAGCTAATCCTATAACAGAAAATTACTAACAACAAATACAGTTCAGTGATCAAAGTTTTTATGACCAAGATTTCTTTAATCTGAACATGATCATCTCAATAAGAAAATGAAGTAGGCAACGAATTCAGTCTAATGAAGAAAAACGTCTAATCAACTTATTTAAGTTTGACGCCTAACGTCTTAAAGGAAAGATTTCTGTAATATGAAAAATAACTTGGCCATCCCACATGCAAAAACAAGACAATGATTCTGTTAAGGGCCCAACTTCCTAATTAGCCTAGACTTCTTCGTCACATGGTGCTGTAATTTAGGTATTTCTTGAACTTATTAGAAAATATGGAAGTTAAAATATATAAGTGTTGTATAGTTTAAATTAATGCTACCATATTCAATGTTACTGATCACAGTTTTACATTATTATTTGTGTAAGGATAATGAAATAAAAGTTTCGATCATTTTAAAAACTTTATATTCCTGTTTGCATTCAACGAAATGCCTTATAAAAATTTAGTATTAATACGTAGCATTACTTACGAATCTATAATATTTATTTGATGATTCATGAAGTTTGGGAATCCGAAATAACATTTGTGTATACCTTAGTTTTTTACAGAAAGATATGATATATTTTGAATCATATATTACATTATATTCTGTCTTAGTCAGTTCTACCAAAACTTGAAAGCATTAGAGTTCCTTGATTAAACTCTAGTTATTTGCATGGAGTTTTTCTAGAGGTAAAATATATTTATTGAGAACTTTTTATATCATACTTTTCACATTTCATATATAATAACACATTCATTATTATCAATTTTCTTACCTTTGACCTCCAGTATAAAAGATGGAATTCTCTCTGTGTGATTAGGGTCAATTATTGTCATGATTTCATGTTTGGTCTCAGCCACAAGCACATGCAACCACACACATACATTTGTTGCTATCATATGCATTAGGCCAAACCTGGCTAATGTTTTGAACTTATTAATAGCCATCTGAAAACAACAAAAACAATTAGGTATAAGTTTAATTAGGTAATTCTAGGAAACTTTAATAGAATAAATGCATATAACTGAGAATTGATAGACACAGTTATATAATGAGAAGTCGTTTTAAGGCAAAAGAAAGACACAACGGAACCTGTGGCTATAATCAATATTTTAATATTTAAGAAAATATACATTTTTATTCAACTCTTGAATCGGCAACTATATTAATAATTGATACAGTGATATGAAAGATGCAAACATTCTATAAGTATTCCAGTTTGTGTGTCACGTGTCTTCAAGATATTAATGTAACAAAATATTTTTTTGAAATGATTAAGGAACAGTTTCGTTAATCTTTCTCCTTCATTTTCTGGCCAGATATTCTGTTTTCAACATTTACTTCATAACTTCATTTTCAAGGCTGATGTTGTGTTTCATTAAAACATAAGAAATGATATTCTTCAGTTATAGTTTAAAATATCTCACTATGATGACAACTTATGGATTCCAGAGGATTAAACCAGAACTTAACAATATCAGATAACTTTAAGTTAAAAGTATAATTCAACAGTATTTAATATGTATGCTGTAATGGCATTAACAATTTTTTACTTTTGTTTTTCCTACTATTAGGTGTTAACAAAGAGTAACGTTTTTAGTATAAATATGTTTGATACTCACCCTAGAATTCAGAAAAATGAAATAGAGTTGAATGAAAGTGAAGCCCATTCTCGTGCTAGGTGTTAAACCATACAGAATGTTGTAGCAATGAGATTTCTTTTCAAGTTCAAAAAATTGCCCGAATTCTAGTCCAGAATATATCATGCTTCCAATTCCAAAAGCTGAAAAAGTGAAATTCAAACAGTTCATATCCTGCAAACATAATGTAGCAATGAACTTTAGTTATTTTAAAGTTTACTGCAGTGTCCAGTGAATCTGGATATCAAAGTAAAGAGCAACCAAAATTAATATAGTCCTAAAGCTTATAATTTTCACTGTCCAATAAAGTTGTAAAATATTAGAATTTTATAAATAAACTGTAAGACGATTATAAATGATGTCTAAGATCTTGAAACAGGAATATTGCACAATAGACACGTGGACATTTTTGGTACTAAAACTGATAATGAATTCGACTTTTTGAAAGGAAGCTAGAGTAACAACATACTCATGACAAGGATAATGTACGGTATACTACACTTAAATGCGCTCTAATGGTATCTTCATAATTATTAATTCCCTTACTGAAATAATCATGATTTTAATTTATCTAAGCTTCTATTCAAGTAAAGATGTTGAACTTCATAGACCTATTAATAAACGCACCAGTGTCATAATTATACTGTTGCGTCAGCAAGGTCACGTGACTATTATCACGCCACTCCTTCGAGAGATTACTAGATATAGGGTAGTCTGGTATATAGAAGATGGTCACAACGTGACGCAATAATGTGTGTAGGTAATGAGTAATTGAACTGCAGTAAGAGAGAGACGTTTTGTTGAAGTTAACTTCGTTATTATAGTTTGTTATAGCGCGACTGTTGAAAATAAGTGTATCGTAAAGTTGTATTCGGAAAGAATAAACCAGTTTTATTAAGTAAGGAGCTGGTGTCGCTAAAGTTTCGTCGGAACGAAGTTACGGAAAATCAATGTTACTGTTACTGCAATGAATATCTAATTTCCATTACTTATAACAATAAAAATTTTAGTCATCTCAAATAGTTATTGAGAATTTTTAAACCTTATAAGTAGTGTCCTGTTTTTGTTATATATCACATGAAATATATTAGTTTTAGTTTTCATTCTGTTAAAATATTACATGATAATAGAGCAGATTGATCCTCAAGTTTCGGTCACTGACAACTATGAGACTAATGAACAAAGGTCAGTAGAAAAGTCTAACAGAGTAAAAAGTATACAAGAATTGAACACTAACTGAAATATACTAAACTTGTATGAAAGTTAATTTGATCTTGGCACTCCAGTATTTTATAATTCTTACATGTTTAAGTTTCTGTTATTCCTAGATATCAAAGGGTAACTGTGGAAATTGACCCTTGGATAGATTTGAAGGAAGCAATCCAAATTGTAAGATGGATGATGATAATATTTCTACAAATACATTGAACAAATACATCCTGAAGAAGATGGATTGTGTATAGATCTTGATAAGTTATATTTGTACACAATTGGGGTTTAAACAACAAATATATGAGTTCTAGATCGAAAACAGAAAGTAGTAACTTCACAGAGAAAATAACTTCCTAATTTACCCTCAAGGCTTGAGAGTTTCATGAATGTGTTGCGTCATCGAGGTCACGTGACTGGTGTGGCGCCCTCTACTTTCTAGAACTATCCTGTACTTTGGCGAACGCTC